TTCTTGTATAGGTTCTTGACTTTTATGGCTCGACTAGAGAAGGAAAGGTTTTACTATTGTCCTGGGACCAACCAGATTCTCTGCGAAAATTGCAGGGCATCTACAAGATCGTTTAAAACTCATTACAGTTTGTGAAATGCTAAATAGGCAGGCCACCAGTGGTAAGGGTTAAAACTCACAAGAGACAAAGAGAGGTCACAATCCACCATTATTGATTGTAGATTGAGCGAAGGAGAAACTCCATTTGTTGGGAGCAGCAACCCGTGAAATGTCGAGAGTTCCATGTAGCTCCCAAGACCAGGACAAAGTTCAGTCGAGCCAATTACTCTACCCGTGAGACAGCAACAGTCCTTTTTATAGGACCTCTACGTCATTTACAGAAGTGCCCCAGTCTTGATACACTCTAAAATGTGGTATATCTGCCATAATAACATCAATCCACGTCATCTTTGTGCATTGGCGGATTTCATTTCTTGAATTCCCAGGGCGCATCTCGTCTCCATAACATCAGACGTTTTGTCATTTCATCCCATCCGCTGCGCCCTTCACACGCTCGCATTTGAACTGTTTACCTCTATCTATTTTTCTACCCACCTTTCCCGTATTATATACGATCCTACCAATAAAAGATAACATGTATTTAACTTTTTACTAGTTCTACACCATCTAACAGTTTATCCATGGCAAAATAACCGAACAGAGGCATCCTTATTCCTCTTAAATAATAGAAACTTATATTGATTTAATGCTAAACTCTTCAAAAATTCATTAGGCGCGAAATTAGTTACTTTCTTTATAAACTTAAAATAGATGTTAGCTTTACTGTAGGTGTAGTTCTAATGACACAAAAGTGTTTGTCGTCTTATTGTGTGCTGACTTACTATATTTAGTATCCTATTGCACGGCATATGAATAGAATGCCATACATAAGATGATTTTGGCACATCAACATCTGTGGCATTCTCGCTGGGGGTACCCAACACCACAAATTACTGTTATAACCCATTTCCGGATTTAAAAATCTAAATAAGTATAGAGTTGCTTGTTATGATGCTAAGAACTATATATACTAACTGAATGTTTCTTTTGTTTGTCGGCTATATTTATTTATAACCATTAAAAAAATTATATTTGCTTGTATCCGGGGTATAGATACGCCGCTTTAAAAAACGAATAAATGTCGAGTTATGTAAAAATAAAGTTGTTTATCTTATTTTATTTATTTTGAAAATTGCTCTTCGGTTTTCTAGTTTTAAAAATTCAGACTCTTTCAACAAATTAACGAAAATTACTTTTATGTGACGTGACGAAAGATTGGAGCAGGATGATGCAGGCTGCATCTTTTTAATGCCGTTAGAGAATTTAGTCAAATGGATGAAAGAATTCCTTAGTGTGTGAAAACAAGCCTTGGCAGATTTTCTGCAATTTAAGTGAAAAGTAGAAGATATCTGGAAAGTCCCGCAGGATGTTGATCTAACGTGCATTTTGCTTATATGTGATTGATCTGGGCTTGTCCCTGCGCTCTCAAGAACCAACATTGGGCGGTAATTTCACTGGAGGTGAGGATATTGAACCTGTTTAAAGAAAGCATTAGTTTTACAGAATACACCGCTGCTAGGGGATAAAGTATTGATTGGCTTGGTTTGAAAGCCAATAGTGTGGCATCTCTCTGTTCAGTCTCCCAAAGAACTTTTGCTTTTCGAATTGAACTTATTTTTAAGGAGAGAGAGGAGGATTGGAAAAGAAAATTTAAGATTCGTTTACTTTCTTTTCTTTTCTGGCAGAGGGAGAAGAGAAAAAATAAGAGAAAAAAGAAGTCGGTATATAATAAATAAATTTGCTACCTTTCTGTATATCTAGATGAACAACTTTTCTAACGAGCACGCGGAGCTGAAAAATGCTTTAATGAGTCAATCCCTGGAGAATTCGTTACATTTGATATTAGGAAGCTGAACTGTAGGTCTACGCTATCTAATTTCACCTCTCTATCTTATCCATTTATTTAAGCGTCCCTGGAGACATTTATTTCTCGCCATTCTCTCCAATAACGGCTACAACCTATCAGAGATCGGCCAATAGTGAGCGATGAAGGACATTCCATCAGGAACAGAGTCCCGCTTCGATACAATAGCCGTCTGACAGCTAAAGGCAAGTCTTTCTCGGTAAAGGGACATTCTGCCGGTTGTGAGTGACCACCAGATGACCAATAGCGGCTCCCAACCCAAACGGCCTGAACTAGGAAATTAAACAAAGCTCGCTCGTCGATACGCTCCAACATACACACTTTTCCTGCTTAATATTCGTCTTTTGCCAGTTTTGCTTGATAATTATATAAAAGGTATTGATTCTCTCGGCTATCTTTGTTTCTCTCTAACGATATCTTTCTTTTCTCTTCACCTGGTCGAGATGACAATTCCGTTATCAATAAGTTATCACATTCTAGTCACGTGGTGCCGAGGGGACGAAAGGGGGAGAGGCGAAGACAAAAGCAGCCGTTGGTTGAGACAGCGGGACAAAAGCGTCGTATCAGTCTCTGTTAATTGGGATTATGGAGACGTGCTAAATTTGACAATGACCAGCACTAGTCGTTGCTGAGTGTCATCTTTTGTCGCTTATTTCGGGTGGCTTCATTTGGAAAAGGTCATCGACCTCGACAATACTAATCTTCGGTAATGAACGGAGGCAAATTGATGCTTCTTATGGGTTTGAATTTATAATAAGTTTTCTACTCTTCCATTAAAGCCCAGACTACATTATTTATCCTCTTTTGTAAAATTAAAAAGGCTGCCTTTGCTTAATTTTAATAGAGAGAGATGGATAAAACGAAGAGCCTTCTTCTTTTTTCCTTTTTTTAAGTATTGTATCTGGAAAAATAACAAGGTAGCCTTTGTAACAGGAACGGTTTCAAGTGCAGTCGATTTAACAGAAAGGATCAATCGAACGTTTGTCCCATTGTACATAATCTTTAGTCTTCACGCTCATGCCCAGTATTTGTCCTGTGGGCTTACTTCACCGCAAAATACCGTTGTCTTAAGGTGAAACCACTCCGAGCGTTACTGTATAGCGTACTCGTATCGATTTTATTGATAAATCACAATTATTATTATTGCTGATATAAATAAAATATAAATTCTACTAGACCAGAATAATATTTGAAACATTTATTATTTAACGTTAAGAATTTTATTGGACTTTAGGAAGTTTGGATTTTCAAGTTTTCGAAACTCCCGTAGGACGTCTTACGAACATGGCCGGGTAAATATTTCTGGTTTGGAACATTCTGCAGAATTCGAACTCTGACAAGTACAGAACGAGCCTGATAAAGGCCAGAAGGAAAAGAAAGACAAGTGGCAATGTTTCGCACGTGTCTGATGACCTAAGTCTCGACATCGTGCCATCGACTTGGACACGTCTCTGTAACACACCTCTTTCTTGTCTGGTTCACAAAGTTCTTTTTTCTCTCTCCTTGTCTTTCATTGGGAATGGATGGTAGTCAGCGATACATGTCGATCTAGCCTTTTGTTATAGCTCTTGATGTGTTTTTCTCTATGACATTTTTGGGTCTCTGAGTCTCCCTATCAGAAACATATCTCTCCAACGGTGCACTGTCTCCTATTTCTTGCCTTCTATAGTTGGTGTGTGGCGTTCCCTACCATCAATCAACCTCCCTACTGGCTGTCTGAGAAGTTTCGGGAATTTCCACAACGCCATCATTCACAAAAGAAAATAAAAACTCTAATAGACGTTTTATTTCATCGCACAAGTAATACCTTCCTGAGTCATCGTGACCGCTCCTTTCATCGTCGCCCTGTCCACTTTCTTTAGTCTACAAATTTCGTTTGCGAGCGGTCGAAATTTTGTCATCTTCTCTCTCCGACATTAATCACAGACTTTGCCATCTCGTCCGGTCGTTTTATGCCAAATTTACGTTATGAGGGGCCAAAATTGCGCGGTCGAACATCAGATTTTATTTCTTGTAAAGTGGATTATATCGTTTAGGAAAAATATCCCATTTGTTATCATATATCTAGAAAACTTCCCAATATCATTATTGCACGGCTTGCTATTTTTATCTCTTCCTTCGATTCACAAAATGACTATAATTACAAACATCCGAGGGCTTTAGAAATCGTTAAAAAATGACAGACATTTGTAATTAATGCAGGAAAGCAGGAATGTGGTCAAAAAGAAAATAAAAATTAAACGCGTTATTTCTGTAAATTCTCTGGAGATATCAACTTGCCCAACTCTCATCTCAATCGCCAAAGAGTGATCCGAAATGGTCAATGAGGTGGGAGGTTAAGTAGTGTCAGTCGACCAGATGAGGGAACTTCGAGTCCCCACGTAACCATTCACCGCTGCATTACAACATCGCAATTATACCTATGGGGTATACTTTTTCCCTATTCAATCAACAGTGTTGTGATTGCTAGTAGCCTTCTTTCGACTGCAACATGTGTTTTTAAGAAAGGAATGTTTCTTTCGCGCCAGTGGAGAAGTGGCGGCAGATGGGCACAGAGTATTGAAAGTAAACAAACATAATAAGTTAGATTATCTGCAGTCTATGCTGTTTCACGCACTATCCCGAGACTCAAAGCTGGATTGATTGTTGAATGAAGCTATTACATCTCTCTCTGGTATAGTTTGCTTCGGGATCCAAACGTCGGTTGTTCTTCCATTAGTAGTCCCGAGAGGTCTTAGACACAGACTTTTGGCAGTATGGACCAGCAACGTTTCAACGGCAGCTCGAGAAAATGGAGCTCACTCATCTCGTACTGAAGGTGTGAGTATAAATCTCTAAGGTTTGCAGTGGTGAAGAAAATAACGACGTAACCTACTCTACAACAATCTTAACTACTTTGGATTAATTGCGCTTTATTATTTAATTATAAAAATACAGAGAAATTATAAATTTTAATTTTAAATATATATTAAAGTTTTTATTAATCATAATGGTGATTTAAAAATTGATTATTATTATTATTTTTTCTATTTGATAGAATGGTTTCTTGCCGTTATATAGCCGTAACAACATAGCGTAATGGTGAAATCTGGTCTAATCACAGACAGATAGCTGTGTCGGATTGTAAAGCTGAAAGCCTCGTCTATCTCTGCAGGTGGCCAGGCTGAGTGTCATTTTCGCTGACATGGCTTTGGCATCAGGGCAATTTTCCCACATCCAGGGTCACGGCATCCAGCCCTGACAGGTGGTCCGAGATGAACAGCTCCCTGGAGATACAACCGTCCACTGTCTACGTCTCGCTCACCTACCCACTGGGAGATGTCACAGCAGCACCTACAGTCAGAAGGTCATTCGGCAGTATCCGTGATCTAAGATATATATGGACCAGTTGGGACATTTATATATGGTATAGTTCTATCTCTCGACGTCTTTCATACTTAAAGATATTGTAGAAAGCAGAATGGACTGTCTCGGAGGTTACTGGAACGGAATGACCTATCCACAATAAGAATGTCTATATACTTTCTTGTTTCTACAAATTCGAAAAACATGTCGAAGGTTAGTATAAAAGCAGAAGTTGAAATGTTTTACTATTTTAAAAGTAATCAGGTCTTTAATGATTAAAATAAATTAGTCATTGTCTATTAAAAACCATCAATAAAAGAAGATTCAACCAAGAGAAGGAAAACAACAAAACAAAGTTTCCTAATAAAGAAAGGCCTTGTTTGACTTTGACGTTTGTGCGTTTGCTGTTTCAACGTCAAACATTTCTGCAACTCAACAAATATTTGCTGTTTTCTTTAGTTTTGTTTTTCTATCATTGAAAAGAAAAATGCACCCAACTTTGTATCCAGTCAATATGTCCACTTGTTTTACTATGCTAAACAGTATAAATCAATATATTGTTCCGAATGAAACGTATTTCGTCTCCCCAACAATCGCAATTTTCCATCATTTTCGTCAGACTATAAAGCTGTTGATATATGCTTGGCTTTCTGTTTGCTTATCGCTGTTTACTCGCGTTATTTATACTGTTTACGAAAATATATACACGTATTTAAATCACAGAATAAGGAATTTAGCCAACACTTTTTAATTAACTAAATTAATTATAATTAAATCATTTAAATTTATAATTCAGCCTGTAAATCACGCTTCCTTGCATATCAGGCGTGCTTAATTGGAAAGCCAACACCTATCGAAAATAAGGTGAATTTGTATATAAATGAGTCATTTATAAGCTAAGGTTTGTGCGAGCCGACAGAGAAGGAAGAGAAATCTCAATCTCTTAAAGGTATATCAACTTTCATACGGGGGAATCATTTTTGAAATTTGTTTTGCTCCTTTATTCAATGAAGCTTAGTTGAAATTCTCCATCCGAACTTTCTCTTCACTCAAATAACATCAAACGCTTTTACTTCCTCTTCACCTTTTGTGGTCGAAGATTTCAGGCGGCAAGTTCAATAATTTAATCAGTAAAGAGGTGCCAACATTTCATAGTAAGCATTGAACGACATTCTTCAAATGTAAATCCATGCTTTGATCGTCGCTCACCTAAAGTGCTGGATATTTGCATAGTGTCTGTATTCAAATCGATGGAACGGTTTCTCTTATAGCAGCACAGTATAGCCTTGGGGCTCGCTTCAGTTCGAGTGTGTCAACAAGATATCTCCACTCGATTCTTATATATTTTCGCCGGCAACACTCATCACTTAGTCAGTGCTGATGTTAAACAATTTGAAGAAAGATTTAGACAACTTGTTTTTCCAACACTTTTCAATACGGTTGATTAGATGGAGAGTTTTCTTTTCTGGTTTGTATCTCTTATTTTTTTATTTTCTCTTTTCTTTTCTAAGTACACCCTTGAGCCAGTGCTGTTTGTCAAATGAAGTTGGAATTTGAGATTATTGCCTTGCAAAGGGTGTTTTGCTAAACACGTTGGAGATTAAAAACGATTAGGGAATGCAAATATCCTAACATCTCTTTGTCCCTGGAGGAATGTTATTCTTACCGAGCGCTTTACTGGTTGCAGTAGAGAGAAAATGTTTCCTTTAAACAGGATGCCGCCTTCTACTAAATCCTTTTTAAACGTTATCGAAATTATTAAGATAGAACCCGACGCATATATTAATTTTTAAAGCCGACATTTTCTTCTTGTAATGGAGGTTTGCTTTTAATTTTATAAATTTTAATTAAAGCTTTGCGCTGTCAAATTCATTTATTACCTGAAGAAATTTCTTCTGCTAGTGATTTTCTTTACTTAATTGCCAGAAAAGATGCGATGAGCATCGCACCCCTCCCAACTCATTTGACTTCATCTCTCCATTTTCCGAAGATGGTTATGGATGCGTGGAGTGGATAGAACGGAAGACAACACCATCACCGGCGAGACACGAGAAAGAAGAGACATCTGTCAAAGTTTCTCATTGTAGCCTTGATCAGGCAAAGCATGCAGTCTGGATGTAACACACCCGGATTACAGCTATCTCCCTAGTGGTTGTTCTCGGTAATGAGAGCCTTGACATCATCGTAGGAGATTATGCATATAAATTATGATTGGGGGATTTGCTCCGGCGTATTACATCGCTGGCGCGTGACAGCTTTACAGAGTGCATTTCCATATTATCTACCGTAATGCCCTTCCTCTATCGTTCAGTGGCTGAAGCTGTAGAGAGTATTCACTCCCTCTCACTCTGATTCTACTAATTTACATTGGCGAACAATATTGAGGTGTCAGAAAGGGGCAAGAGGCGAATTTATTAAATTGTTTGCCTAAACGGCAAACTAGCCTCATCATTCATTTCTTTTTTATTTTGTTGTTGTATATTAGCCGGTCCGCAATGGCTGGGCTTTATTGTCTTTTGTAAAAAAGAAAAGGGAAAGCAAACTTTATCTATCGAAAACTACACTATCTACTTATTTGATTTGTTGAGAGATGTGGAATTAAAGAGGCAAGGGAGATATTTGGAGGTAAAGTCTTCTATTGTGAGACTGGCTTGGCCTTCCACGACATCACTCAAGTAATTAGTTTTTGTACAAAAAGTCTTCGCCACTTCTACTCGCAGAGCAATAAAAACTATTTGGACAAACTTACTTAGGACATCTAAACAGATACCAAACAGTTTTATTTTTGTTAGCAGACACGGTTTTGTTTGTAATTCGCTGCGATAGACAATAGCCATCTGGAATAAATTTCTAGCAATAAAATTGAATTTCGGAGTGAAAATCATTTTTAAATTATAAAATTTAACGTCTTTTTTCTCCCGTTGTAGGAAATGAAAAAATTGCCAATGGTGGAAAAGCTATATTTATATTCATGGAGAAGGAATATTTTTATCGAGAGTGAAAGAGATGACGACAAAAGGAGAGACGTCGACAGAAATTCAAACTAGTGAACTTTCACCCTGTTTGTGAATAGCAAAGTGGGATGACGACATCTCGGCAAAGAAGTAACATTCAAACGATAAATTGCAATCGCTCCATCTTGTGTGGCGCTTTTTTCCTTTCTTTCCTTCATCTTTTGGAGTTTTGTAAACTTTTCCGTCACCCAAATATTTACCTACATTTCCTAGTCTCAGAAAACTTTAGATTCCGTAACAAATGGATGGCTCCGGGGGTTTCTGCCAACCGCTCATATTTGCCCAATGTTTCTCATTAACGCCGCTTTCGCTTTTCTGCTTGCTGTTTCGTGCAACCAATAAAAGATGGAACAGAGTTACCAAGAGAAAGTTCGTTCGGATTGAATGCGGAGTCTCGTAGGACATCAGCAATTTCAATAGCATATTGTGTGACAGGCAAAGAAAAGAAGCGGAATGGATGGTCTTAAAGTCATTTGGTTTGAAAAGAAGCGATGCTCACGCTTCTCATCCTCAGGAGAGATAGATGTGCCATGGAAATTCAAATCATCTTGACATCTAGCGAGTACTAACCTATAGACTACAACAGCTCGGATTCAAATGAGATGCACCATAAAGAGATGCGTCCGTCCAGAAAATAACAGCTCCTCATTAGCATTAGAATTACCTTAGAGCAGTTTCCACGCCAGCTATCTATCAGGGTGGTTCGCCTTTCATTACAGAGAGAAGCTTCTGGGAGGTTGCCAGCCACGTCATGTCGGTCGCCCTACCACCTATTAACACTGTCAAATGCTAGCGATTGGTCAGCATGGCATATGCTGCGGTATCTGTGACGGACAGCCTGCACGCCATGGAGAAACGCTGATTACCTTTAAACTCATCAGCGCCCGCGCCTACCCCCCATCATCGGTCATAAACATGTCTCCATTCTCTACCCCTCATTTCCGTCAATGTGTCAGCCTATTCATCTGAATATCAAAAAGGGACAACCGAACTCTGTTAATTAAGGATCTTGTTTTGCTCATTAGAAGTGTTGGCTTCGTCCTAGAAGTAAAAGGTGCGTGTAAATGGAGTCTTGGAGTTGTTTTAGAAAGTTTTTCCGTTCTTTGTGTGCTAGCCGCTGGAAGTAATTATAGCGGCATGATCAGAATACTAACATGCACCACTCCATCAGTCATTGTTAGACAGTGCCACTTTGTAGTACTTTACGCTCTGTATGCAGTTCGGCCTCCGCTGCTGCCAAACAAAGGATTTAGGGCTTAGGTAACTTATCGATGGATCTTTGGAATTTTTCCGACACTTTACTCACTCCTATTGATTACTTCTCGGTAATGAATATCATAAACATCCTCCTACAAAAATGATGCGGCCATATCTAACATCTCCTTAGCGGTGAGCAAACGGATCGGATGCGAACACATGTGCAAATTAATGGCTGACATAAGTTTTGAATATCTTAACGATAGAGACAATTTTTCCTTTAAAGTATGGCCAATGACTTTTGTCAAAAAGGGGAAGAAAGGGGTAGCGAGAAATTTTAATTAAAATTGAAAACCAAAACTGTTATAGTACTTATGAAACTGATGGAATAACATCCATCAGAGAGAATGCTTTTAAAAAGCCATTTCGGAGAAATGATTGTCTCATTTTCTGAATTGCTTCTGCAAAAGCGGCCGAGTATAACCCTTTATAATATAAAGGTAAGACTGCAGATTGTTTGAGTATAGCCGAGAAGATTGAAAATAGAAAGAACACAGCATGTCAATAAAGTTCCGATCTTCTGTAAAAAGCACAAGTAAAAAAGCAGTTGAGTAATGAATATTGATGTTTTTTTTCTCTTCTCTTAAAATTGTCTGAATGCTAAATTACAAAAATATTTTCACAAATGAAATTTCCTAAATTGAATTTTTTGTTTTGCACAAGGCGAGAGTATTTATTAAAAAAAGTACTTTTTATTCGCGAATAATCGAGCAAAAAAACTGACTAATGTGTGCAAATCAATGTTTTTTTTTCCTGTTTTTTCCTCTCTCTGCAAGAATTTTTTCACAGCCTGAACGCGTAGGCGAATAAAAAGCATCAGTTTGACACGTGAAGATTTTTATGGAGTGACAAGTTACTCTTTCTGTCGACGATTTATCGTCCTTACTTCCATAGATCACAATTTGCATATTATATAGCGGAAGGTACGTCTTTCGTAAAAAG